TTATTTAAAATCAGAAATTTTCTTTCCTCCATATTAACACATTTCGTATTTTTCATTAAAAAACAATCCATACTTAATAAACAACATATAGTTTAATATGTTGAACAATCCGGAAAATCTTGCTCTGACATTCCGTTTTTGATATTAGTGAGCAGGTACAGTCATGGATGTCCGGTACCAGCACTGCCGAGTACAGTTGTGGGGGAGAGTCTATAAGCCCGTGAACTCAACGTTGGGAAGCCCGTGATTTCGATTGTAAACACACATTTTGATACGTAAGCCGTTTATGTGTACCTTCTTAACGTATTGATAAACAGTCAAAACATTAGCCTAACTTACTGTCTTTTTTATGAATTTAATGAATTTTGACATTCGCAAAAATAAAGAACGTATATATTTATAGTAAACCCAATTTTCTAAGGTCTAGAGCTAACGTAATTATGGATATACAGCCCGTGAATTCATCGACACCCTATAAAGAACTAAGTATGAGGCCCGTGACTTCACCAACACCCTATATAGTATTGAATCAGAGGCCCGTGACTTCACCGACACCCTATATAGAACTGAGTCTGAGACCCATGACTTCACCGAAACCCTATATAGAACTGAGTCTGAGACCCATGACTTCACCGACACCTTATATAGAACTGAGTCTGAGACCCATGACTTCACCGACACCTTATATAGAACTGAGTCTGAGGCCCATGACTTCACCGACACCCTATATAGAACTAAGTATGATGCCCGTGACTTCACCAACACCCTATATAGTATTGAGTCTGAGGCCCGTGACTTCACTGACACCCTAAATAGAGCTGAGTATGTGGCCCATGGCTTCACCAACACCCTATATAGAGCTGAGTATGAGGCCCGTGACTTCACCGACACCCTATATAGAGCTGAGTCTGAGGCCCGTGACTTCACCAACACCCTATATAGTATTGAGTCTGAAGCCCGTGACTTCATCGACACCCTATAAAGAACTAAGTATGAGGCCCGTGACTTCACCAACACCCTATATAGTATTGAGTCTGAGGCCCGTGACTTCACTGACACCCTAAATAGAGCTGAGTATGAGGCCCATGGCTTCACCAACACCCTATATAGTATTGAGTCTGAGGCCCGTGACTTCACCAACACCCTATATAGTATTGAGTCTGAGGCCCGTGACTTCATCGACACCCTATAAAGAACTAAGTATGAGGCCCGTGACTTCACCAACACCCTATATAGAGCTGAGTATGAGGCCCGTGACTTCACCCACACCCTATATAGAACTGAGTCTGAGACCCATGACTTCACCGAAACCCTATATAGAACTGAGTCTGAGACCCATGACTTCACCGACACCTTATATAGAACTGAGTCTGAGACCCATGACTTCACCGACACCTTATATAGAACTGAGTCTGAGGCCCATGACTTCACCGACACCCTATATAGAACTAAGTATGATGCCCGTGACTTCACCAACACCCTATATAGTATTGAGTCTGAGGCCCGTGACTTCACTGACACCCTAAATAGAGCTGAGTATGTGGCCCATGGCTTCACCAACACCCTATATAGATCTGAGTATGAGGCCCGTGACTTCACCGACACCCTATATAGAGCTGAGTCTGAGGCCCGTGACTTCACCAACACCCTATATAGTATTGAGTCTGAGGCCCGTGACTTCATCGACACCCTATAAAGAACTAAGTATGAGGCCCGTGACTTCACCAACACCCTATATAGAGCTGAGTATGAGGCCCGTGAATCCATCGACACCCTATAAAGAACTAAGTATGAGGCCCGTGACTTCACCAACACCCTATATAGTATTGAATCAGAGGCCCGTGACTTCACCGACACCCTATATAGTATTGAGTCAGAGGCCCATGACTTCACCGACACCCTATATAGAACTGAGTATGATGCCCGTGACTTCACCAACACCCTATATAGTATTGAGTCTGAGGCCCGTGACTTCACTGACACCCTAAATAGAGCTGAGTATGAGGCCCATGGCTTCACCAACACCCTATATAGAGCTGAGTCTGAGGCCCGTGACTTCACCAACACCCTATATAGTATTGAGTCTGAGGCCCGTGACTTCATCGACACCCTATAAAGAACTAAGTATGAGGCCCGTGACTTCACCAACACCCTATATAGAGCTGAGTATGAGGCCCGTGACTTCACCCACACCCTATATAGAACTAAGTATGATGCCCGTGACTTCACCAACACCCTATATAGTATTGAGTCTGAGGCCCGTGACTTCACTGACACCCTAAATAGAGCTGAGTATGTGGCCCATGGCTTCACCAACACCCTATATAGAGCTGAGTATGAGGCCCGTGACTTCACCGACACCCTATATAGAGCTGAGTCTGAGGCCCGTGACTTCACCAACACCCTATATAGTATTGAGTCTGAAGCCCGTGACTTCATCGACACCCTATAAAGAACTAAGTATGAGGCCCGTGACTTCACCAACACCCTATATAGAGCTGAGTATGAGGCCCGTGACTTCACCGACACCCTATATAGAACTGAGTATGATGCCCGTGACTTCACCAACACCCTATATAGTATTGAGTCTGAGGCCCGTGACTTCACTGACACCCTAAATAGAGCTGAGTATGTGGCCCATGGCTTCACCAACACCCTATATAGAGCTGAGTATGAGGCCCGTGACTTCACCGACACCCTATATAGAGCTGAGTCTGAGGCCTGTGACTTCACCAACACCCTATATAGTATTGAGTCTGAGGCCCGTGACTTCACTGACACCCTAAATAGAGCTGAGTATGTGGCCCATGGCTTCACCAACACCCTATATAGAGCTGAGTATGAGGCCCGTGACTTCACCGACACCCTATATAGAGCTGAGTCTGAGGCCCGTGACTTCACCAACACCCTATATAGTATTGAGTCTGAGGCCCGTGACTTCATCGACACCCTATAAAGAACTAAGTATGAGGCCCGTGACTTCACCAACACCCTATATAGAGCTGAGTATGAGGCCCGTGACTTCACCGACACCCTATATAGAACTGAGTCTGAGACCCATGACTTCACCGAAACCCTATATAGAACTGAGTCTGAGACCCATGACTTCACCGACACCTTATATAGAACTGAGTCTGAGACCCATGACTTCACCGACACCTTATATAGAACTGAGTCTGAGGCCCATGACTTCACCGACACCCTATATAGAACTAAGTATGATGCCCGTGACTTCACCAACACCCTATATAGTATTGAGTCTGAGGCCCGTGACTTCACTGACACCCTAAATAGAGCTGAGTATGTGGCCCATGGCTTCACCAACACCCTATATAGAGCTGAGTATGAGGCCCGTGACTTCACCGACACCCTATATAGAGCTGAGTCTGAGGCCCGTGACTTCACCAACACCCTATATAGTATTGAGTCTGAGGCCCGTGACTTCATCGACACCCTATAAAGAACTAAGTATGAGGCCCGTGACTTCACCAACACCCTATATAGAGCTGAGTATGAGGCCCGTGACTTCACCCACACCCTATATAGAACTAAGTATGATGCCCGTGACTTCACCAACACCCTATATAGTATTGAGTCTGAGGCCCGTGACTTCACTGACACCCTAAATAGAGCTGAGTATGTGGCCCATGGCTTCACCAACACCCTATATAGAGCTGAGTATGAGGCCCGTGACTTCACCGACACCCTATATAGTATTGAGTCTGAGGCCCGTGACTTCATCGACACCCTATTTTCCACTAAGTTTGAGGCCCGTGACTTCATTGACATCCCTACATATATAGTACTAGTACTAAGAAATATGCCTGTGACTTCATTTACACTGTATTCCATGAAATAAACATAACAATCCACATTATCAGAGCAGAAATATTCATTACAATAGTGAACAAATGTACACACAAATTCACACTTTTTTGTCAGTTTGTAGTCATTTACTTTGTTTTAAACGTACAACAATGCAATTTCATCATGTTCATCTATGTATAATAAAATTAGCCATTATTAAAAAAACAAGAGGCCCAAGGGCCTTAACGGTCACCTGAGTGTAATACAACAATTTAAAGGATGCATCGAGTATAAAATGAACTGAAAGGTAAAGCTTTGTTGCCCAAAAGCAAGAAAAATAGGGTGATCAGGATAAACAAAATAATTAGTCTTACTTTTCATTAACAGTTCATAAATTAGGTCCTAATCTGTTCCCCATTTATCACTATCACCATATACAGTATATTAACAAATTATCAATGCTTCTGAACTATTTTAATCCCTTGTTGATATCTCTTACATTGGCCTCTCTTGGTCTTTGATGAACATTTAATAAGACAAGTTATTTTTGACTCATTTTTATTTATCTACTACTTACAACCTGATCATTAAAACTATGAAAGTACTTTTTGAGACAATAAAAATTCTTGCATAATTCTCTTATACTATTTACCTTTCAAGTACATTATTTACAGTGATTAATTATCAAAAGTAAATGGCAAAAGGGAATAACTCCTCTCAGTAGAATACAAATTAATAGAGCCCTGGCCAGGACCAGAACATTTAACCAAATGGTCCAGATGTTCAAAAATCTGGTAAAAATACCCTTCTTTATAAAAACTTTACTCTGTTTGCCTCAGATATGCCTAGGTGCGGAGAAGATTTTTAAAGAAATATTGCAATTTTACTACAGATTCACTAAATTATCAATAGAGCCCCCCCCCCCCCCCCCCCGAGAAACACCAAACACCAGAGCCTCTGACCCTGGGACCATATGTATACCTAATCACTTTGCTTATCTGTTTATCATTAAGTAGCAAAACAGGATTATTTAATAGAATTAATGCATTTTCACTATATTATCAACAGCCCCACCCTTACACCAGCACATCTGACCCACTGGGGTCATGAAATTCATTAATCTGGAAGAAGCACTCTTGCTTTTTCACTTTATAATCAATTGAAGCCCCCCCCCCCCCCCCCCTCACCAGAACCCTTGAACCTGGGGTCATGAAATTCACAATTTTGGAAGAGGCATCCTTGCGTATCATAACAATGTACTTAGTTTGTTTAAATAATACACAGGGGCAGAAAAGAAGATTTTCAAAGAAATAATGCACCTTCACTATAGGATCTATATAGCCCCGCCCTAGCACCAGAACCCCTGTCCCTGGGGCCATGAATTTCACAATTTTGGAAGAGGCATCCTTGCTTATCATAACAATGTACTTAGTTTGTTTAAATAATACCCAGGTGTAGAGAAGAAGATCTTTAAAAAATTAAAACATTTTCACTTTATAATCAATAGAGCCCCACCCTAACACCAGAACCCCTGATCCAGGGGCCATGAATTTCACGATTTTGGAAGAGGCAACCTTGCTTATCATAACTATGTATTTAATTTGTTTAAATAATACCCAGGAGTAAAGAAGATTTATAAAGATTGCATTAATTTTGATGGTTTTGGCTCCACCCCTCAGGCCCCAGGGGGGCAGGAGCCACAAATTTCACAATTTTTGTTCCCCTTCATCCATAGATGCTATATGCCAAAATTGGTTGAAATTGGTTCACTGGTTCCAGAGAAGAAGCTGAAAATGTTCAAAAGTTTACGACCGATGGATGACACGCCGCACAGCGACGGACGAAAAGAGATAGCAATAGGTCACCTGAGTAACTCAGGTGACCCAAAAATATATAAGAAATGATTACCGATTAATTGTCATTTAAATTCTTTAAAATTTATAGTTAAATAGAATTCACTTTAACTTGCACATATGGTAACAATTAAACAAATTCTTAAATTTCAAATATAACACCAGTTATGTTTATTGTAACTACATGCATCAGCAATGCATTAAATGTGACATTAAGATTGCAGATAATTAGTACTTATACAGTAATACCAGCATGCAATACATGTATGCATTTCAATTGTTTTGTTTTCTTTTGGCCTTCTTCATAGACATTTCTGTTTGTTGACTGATCTTTTCTCTGCCTCTTCTATTAATTGGCATTCCAGTTCCCAAACACAGACCAAGGAATATATGGCCTTCTTCATTAAGACATTGATTTAAGATGTGCATGCCTAAACTGAAAATGTTTATAAAAATGTGTAATACATGTAAATATTAAATTAAATTAAATATCTGGTATAAATAAATTTGTCTGCATTTTTTTTTCAAATTGACACCTGAATAATTACATTGTTAACATTATAACTTAGAGGCCCATGGGCCAAACTCTCACCTGAGTCAGTATGGCATTGCTTTTCTTCATCAGCAGATTTTTTTCATTATTCCCATGTGGCTTTGATCACCAATTGTGGACCCAACATATATTTCCAATATGAAAATCATTAATGAACTTACTTTCAATATTAATTCTTTGAGAATGAACTTTCATTTTTGCACAAAAAGCACTTTAAGTCATCTACTAGTGATAAGAAATACCAATGCTGAGTTTTAAACTAATATTACAAAATCAAGCTGCTGGAGATTACATAATTCTGGCTCATGATAGGACAAACAGACCCCAATAACTACCATATTCTTTACCCAGGGGGATGGTGATAGACAAATAAAGAAAAAGAAACACTTACACTGGATATTCTCTCAACAGCTTCTCATTAGTATGTTATTCTCCAGAACTGTACAAGTGTGGTATCTGGTATATATTGACCTGAAAAGGTGTTGAAATACTGTATTAGAAAACTCGTTAAATACTCCTAAATGAAGGATTCCTCTTTCTTTCTAATGCAAAATCAAGGCCCCCATGACCAAAAAAACAAGAGGCCCATGGGCCACATTGCTCACCTGAGCACACTGGCTAGGCAAAAGCACAAATCAGTTCAGTATTGAAAAGATTACGGGGGGCTTGAATTTTAAACTACCTGATGTCATATCAATATAACAAATGGCTTGTTGTACTTGAAAAGATTTTAAAATATTTTTCCCATATATTCCTTTGTAAAAATTTGATCCCCCATTGTGGCTCCTCCCTATCCCAGGGGTCAACATTTGAACAAACTTAAATCTACACTACCTGAGGATGCTTCCATATCAATATCACTAAACATAGCTTTTCTGTTCTTGAGAAGAAATATTTTTTCTATATGTTCTTATGTAAAACTTTTGACCCCCCATTGGGCCCCACCCTACCCCCAGGGGTTATCATTTGAACAAAATTGAATTTACACTACCTAAGGATGCTTTCATATCAAAATCACTAAACATGATTTTCAGTTCTTGAGAAGATATTTTCCTATATGTTCCTATGTAAAATTTACGATCCCCCATTATGGCCCAACTCTATCCCCGGGGGTCAGCATTTTAACAAACTTGAATCTACACTACCTGATGATGCTTCCATATCAAAATGACTAATCATGACTTTACAGTTCTTCAGAAGTAGATATTTTCCTCTATATATTTCTATTTAAGACTTTGATCCTCCATTGTGGCCCCACCCTACCCACGGTGGTCATGATTTGAACAAAATAGAATCTACACTACCTGAGGATGCTTCCACATAAATATGATCAATCAGGGCTTTGCTGTTCTTGAGAAGAAGATTTTTAAAGATGTTTCCTATATATTTCTATGTAAAACTTTGATAGTCCATAGTGGCCCCACTCTACCCCCGGGGGTCCTGATTTCAACAAACTTGAATTTACACTATCTGAGGATGCTTTCATAAAAATATGACTCATCATGGCTTTGCTGTTCTTGAGAAGATTTTTCCTAAATATTCCTAATTATGCACAACTTTGACTGTCCATAGTGGTTCTATAGGGTGTCGGTAAAGCCAAGAGGCTCAGACTCAGTACTATATAGGGTGTTGCTGAAGTCACAGGCCTCAGACTCAGTTCTATATAGGGTGTCGGTGAAGTCATGAGCCTCAGACTCAGTTCTATATAAGGTGTCGGTGAAGTCATGGGTCTCAGCCTCAGTTCTATATAGGGTGTCGGTGAAGTCACGGGCCTCAGACTCAGTTCTATATAGGGTGTCGCTGAAGTCATGGGCCTCATACTTAATACTATATGGGTTGTCGATGAAGTCATGGGCCTCATACTCATTACTATATAGGGTGTCAGTGAAGTCATGGGCCTCAGACTCAGTTCTATATAAGGTGTCGGTGAAGTCATGGGTTTCAGACTCAGTTCTATATAAGGTGTCAGTGAAGTCATGGGTCTCAGACTCAGTTCTATATAGGGTCTCGGTGAAGTCATGGGTCTCAGACTCAGTTCTATATAGGGTGTCATTGAAGTCACAGGCCTCAGACTCAGTTCTATTATACTTCTATATAGGGTGTCGGTGAAGTCACGGGCCTCATACTCAGTTCTATATAGGGTGTCGGTGAAGTCACGGGCCTCAGACTCAGTTCTATATAGGGTGTCGGTGAAGTCACGGGCCTCAGTCTCAGTTCTATATAGGGTATCGGTGAAGTCATGGGTCTCAGCCTCAGTTCTATATAGGGTGTCGGTGAAGTCACGGGCCTCAGACTCAGTTCTATATAGGGTGTCGCTGAAGTCATGGGCCTCATACTTAATACTATATGGGTTGTCGATGAAGTCATGGGCCTCATACTCATTACTATATAGGGTGTCAGTGAAGTCATGGGCCTCAGACTCAGTTCTATATAAGGTGTCGGTGAAGTCATGGGTTTCAGACTCAGTTCTATATAAGGTGTCAGTGAAGTCATGGGTCTCAGACTCAGTTCTATATAGGGTCTCGGTGAAGTCATGGGTCTCAGACTCAGTTCTATATAGGGTGTCGTTGAAGTCACAGGCCTCAGACTCAGTTCTATTATACTTCTATATAGGGTGTCGGTGAAGTCACGGGCCTCATACTCAGTTCTATATAGGGTGTCGGTGAAGTCACGGGCCTCAGACTCAGTTCTATATAGGGTGTCGGTGAAGTCACGGGCCTCAGTCTCAGTTCTATATAGGGTATCGGTGAAGTCATGGGTCTCAGCCTCAGTTCTATATAGGGTGTCGGTGAAGTCACGGGCCTCAGACTCAGTTCTATATAGGGTGTCGCTGAAGTCATGGGCCTCATACTTAATACTATATGGGTTGTCGATGAAGTCATGGGCCTCATACTCATTACTATATAGGGTGTCAGTGAAGTCATGGGCCTCAGACTCAGTTCTATATAAGGTGTCGGTGAAGTCATGGGTTTCAGACTCAGTTCTATATAAGGTGTCGGTGAAGTCATGGGTCTCAGACTCAGTTCTATATAGGGTTTCGGTGAAGTCATGGGTCTCAGACTCAGTTCTATATAGGGTGTCGTTGAAGTCACAGGCCTCAGACTCAGTTCTATTATACTTCTATATAGGGTGTCGGTGAAGTCACGGGCCTCATACTCAGTTCTATATAGGGTGTCGGTGAAGTCACGGGCCTCAGACTCAGTTCTATATAGGGTGTCGGTGAAGTCACGGGCCTCAGTCTCAGTTCTATATAGGGTATCGGTGAAGTCACGGGCCTTAGACTCAGTTCTATATAAGGTGTTGGTGAAGTACGTCACGGGCCTCAGACTCAGTTCTATATAGGGTGTCATTGAAGTCACGGGCCTCAGACTCAGTTCTATATAGGGTGTCGGTGAATTCATGGGCCTCAGACTCAGTTCTATATAAGGTGTCGGTGAAGTCATGGGTCTCAGACTCAGTTCTATATAGGGTGTCGGTGAAGTCACGGGCCTCAGACTCAGTTCTATATAGGGTGTCACTGAAGTCACGGGCCTCAGACTCAATACTATATGGGTTGTCGATGAAGTCATGGGCCTCATACTCATTACTATAAAGGGTGTCAGTGAAGTCACGGGTCTCAGACTCAGTTCTATATAGGGTTTCGGTGAAGTCATGGGTCTCAGACTCAGTTCTATATAGGGTGTCGTTGAAGTCACGGGCCTCAGACTCAGTTCTATATAGGGTGTCGGTGAAGTCATGGGCCTCAGACTCAGTTCTATATAAGGTGTCGGTGAAGTCACGGGTCTCAGACCCAGTTCTATATAGGATGTCGGTGAAGTCAAGGGCCTCAGACTCAGTTCTATATAGGATGTCGTTGAAGTCACGGGCCTCAGACTCAGTTCTATATAGGGCTGGGACGATACAACTTTTTCTATATCGATATGTATCACGATATTTGAGCCACGATATGATATGTATCACGATATGTTGAATTGGTTATAAAATGTCTTTTTTTTGTATTGAAATGAACAAAACATTTTTTTCACAAATAAGAATAATTTATTCAAAGAAGTTGTATACCTGTTGTAAAAGAAAATAATTTTACACAAGTTATGTTAGATATTATGTATTTCATATTTATATTAATATTTAGCATATTTATATTATATATTTAACCCAAAATGTTAAGTAAACAAAGAAAAATATAAGTCAGAATTTTTTTTTTGCGATATTTCGATATTTCTTCATATGTATCGATATGCGTATCATCATCACATTGAATCGATATTATCGATATCTCGATATATCGTCCCAGCCCTAGTTCTATATAGGGTGAAGTCATGGGCCTCATACTCAATACTATATGGGGTGTCGATGAAGTCATGGGCGTCATACTCATTACTATATAGGGTGTCGGTGAAGTCACGGGCCTCAGACTCAGTTCTATATAGGGTTTCGTTGAAGTCACGGGCCTCAGACTCAGTTCTATTATACTTCTATATAGGGTGTCGGTGAAGTCACGGGCCTCATACTCAGTTTTATATAGGGTGTCGGAGATGTCAAGGACCTCAGACTCAGTTCTATATAGGGTGTCGGTGAAGTCACGGGCCTCAGACTCAGTTCTATATAGGGTGTCGTTGAAGTCACGGGCCTCAGACTCAGTTCTATTATACTTCTATATAGGGTGTCGGTGAAGTCACGGGCCTCATACTCAGTTTTATATAGGGTGTCGGAGATGTCAAGGACCTCAGACTCAGTTCTATATAGGGTGTCGGTGAAGTCACGGGCCTCAGACTCAGTTCTATATAGGGTGTCGTTGAAGTCACGGGCCTCAGACTCAGTTCTATTATACTTCTATATAGGGTGTTGGTGAAGTCACGGGCCTCATACTCAGTTCTATATAGGGTGTCGGTGATGTCACGGGCCTCAGACTCAGTTCTATATAGGGTGTCGGTGAAGTCACGGGCCTTAGACACAGTTCTATATAAGGTGTCGGTGAAGTACGTCACGGGCCTCAGACTCAGTTCTATATAGGGTGTCAGTGAAGTCACGGGCCTCAGACTCAGTTCTATACATGTATAGGGAGTTGGTGAAGTTACGGGCCTCAGACTCAGTTCTATATACGGTGTCATTGAAATCACGGGCCTCTTACTCAGTACTTGATCTTGATATAACAAGATTGTCATATTTCTGGTTTGAACAATGTCATGCATACATAGGGCAATATGAACTATTTTCTTTGAAATCAGTAGGTGATTTCAAGAATTTTTTGGGTGACTCTCAACCTTTCCCCTTTTTTTCTCTGAGTTTATATTATTTAGTATACATAAAATTAGTCTGTGCTGTTTGTACATGTAATTGTACATGTATAATCATGAATGCTTGTTGTTTGTGATGCCTGAACGGGCCCTGATTTGGAAATAAGGAATCTATCTTTCTGATAGAATATGATACATCCCCCTTATTTGGATATGAATTTCTGAAAAAATAATATGTGCATTTTTTATGTCTGTTTAATTTTTTAAATAAAGGTCTCTTTTTTAAAACTGAATTATAAATTAGTTTTTTAAGTTAAAAACTTTCCATAGAACTTTTTAAAGTCTATATTTCCTCTCCGTAATTAATTTTCTTAAAAGAAAATAATTCGTAAATTTGCAACGGGCTTAGAAAGTTTAAATAGATCTAATATGAAAATGTCATTTATTGATAACATGTAACTTACTATAAGTTAGTCTATTAAATAGATTACATGTTTCGAAGATATGGGCATATTTCATAAAATTAACATTTCCGTCCGGAAAAATACTAATCTTTTAAAACAAATCTTATACTTACCACGACACATATTGACATCCCGTGCTGATTGAAAGTACTTCAACTGTTCAATGAATTGCTGAAGGATTTCCTCTGACAAAACCCAACCTCGTATACACTTTTCGTCTCTACTTTCTAATCTAAACCCTGTTACCGATTCTGCCATTGAAGATATTTACACATAGCCTGATCACTTTCAAATGAATGATTGTCGATAGCTCGGCTGCAAGTTAAAAGCGAAAGTAAAAATGACGTATGCATTTTTTGTGTACTTGACTTCACGGGCTTCCGGTTGTTTCAGATAACGGGCTTATAGATTTTCCCCAGTTGTGGATGTTAGCTGACAGACCCCACTCAGTTATAGGGTGAAATCTAAGAAAGATAACTCGGATCACGAACCTCGGTGTATCGTGTGTGTCTACTATATGTCGTGGCTTTCTACTTTAATATGGAATTATACATCACCATAAAGATTTTTTTTTTAAATAAAGAAGACAGTAATACTCGCAGATAAGTGATTTCCTCTAAATATGATCTCCATCATACCTGGGTAGAAAAAACTACTGTAACAACAATTATTCTTCGATTTACATATATACATGAACACAAAATGTTGCCTTTTGCCTAAAATGCATAAGTAAACATGTGGTCTATGGGCCTCTTATGTTAGTATTTCATACAAAAATTATTATGGGTCTGAAATTAAATAATTTATTGAAGCTGAAATTCCGTATAAAAGGAGTATTAGAAAGAGGTTTTCTGTAAAAAAAAAATGATGGTTGTCCCAACCTACAAAAAAAATGAAGCCTCAAGGAGTTATGATTTAGATACAAAATGAGGCTGATTCAATATACATGTAACTAAACTGGCTTTGCTATTCTGGAGATAAAAATTAGGAAATCTTGTTACACCTTTACAGGACACCATTAAAGTACATATCTTTTCAGGACCTCTGACGTTGTGAGGATGATACAAATTCCCAGTTATGCTACTGTTAAAATTGTGAGTAGTTTAAACTAGTTCTTTTGTAGAACTGCATCGTTTCTGGGACCCATCTGGCCTCCTGGATGAAAATGAAAATTCCGAAGCTTTACTGCACATCTATAGGACACAACTAATCAATATTTCAAACGATGAGGGTAACTGCATGAACTATATGGGGTTTAAAGAGGAAGATGTTGTGACATACGGACGCCGGAATAATAATAATATACCCGAACTTTCATATAATAAAGCTCATATCAGAAATTAAACAAGATGTGTTTGTGAAACACTGATGCCCCCGTATGGCAACTTGTAGCGAAGGTTTTTAACTTTCTCAAGTGTAAATCAAATATGTTGGTACCCAAAGTAAGGTCTTGTCTCGAGGAATATACCTGTGAAAAATGAAAGCCTTACCAACAACTATTGATAAGATATGGAAAAAGTAAAAGATTTTCAAAAGTAAGTTAAACATCAAGGTCAAGGTCAAATGGTCAAAATTAACGGTGCCCAAGGTAAGACCTTCTCACCCGATATACACATGTAAAATATGAAAGCCCTAGCATCAACCTTCTAAAAGTTATGGCCAAGGTTAAAGTTTTTCAAAAGTAGGTCAAACTTCAAGGTCAATGAGTCAAAAATGTTTAATTTAATTTAATCAGTATTTTATTATGTAAAGTCAGTTTACATAATTGGATTGGACATCAGGCATTGCCTATATAAGTCCTCTCCAAGAAGGTCAAGTTTACAAATGTTAAGAATTGACAATGATTTACAATCATGATGAAATAATTCATAATAAGTTACATTAATTTCTTTTGTTAACTAGAAGTGGGAAAAAAGGAGAGATAAATTAATAAATTCACAAGAGTTATTACGTAGCATGTACACTCACTATACAATATAATGAAAAAAATAAAAGAGTGCAAACAAACAAAATAGAATAAGTAAACAAATGAAGTGCAAAAGACAAATATGCAAGGGAAAAAAAAAGCAAAGAAAATAATATTAATAATAATAAATAAATAAATCTGGAACAAGCAAAAACACTAGATAATAAAAAAAAAATGAAAAAATGAAAGTGCAAAAGACAAATATCCAAGAAAAAAAATACAATATATATACTCAAAAATGTTGGTATCCAAAGGAAGGTCTTATCATAAGGATTACACATGTGGAGGATGAAAGCCCTAGCACCAACTTTTCGAAAGTTATGGCCAAGGTTAAAGTTTTTCAAAAGTGGGTCAAACTCCAAGGTCAAAGGGTCAAAGTTGTTGGTATCCAAAAGGAAGGTCTTCTCACAAGGATTATGCATGTGAAGTATGAAAGCCCTAGCACCATGCATGTTCAAAAGTTATGGCCAAGGTTAAAGTTGGGTAAGTTCTTGCAAAATTGGCTCAAACTCCAAGGTCAAGAGGTCAAATATGTTGCTCCCAAAGAAAGGCCTTGTCATAAAGAATACACAAATGAAATATGAAAGCCATAGCTCCAACCAATCAAAAATTATGGACAATGTTAAAGTTTTTTGCGGACACACAGATAAACAGACGGACGGACAGGGCAAAAACTATATGCCCCCGAATCTTCGATTATGGGGGCATGAAAAAACCTTTCTCTAACTTTAAATTTATTCCAAATATTTTAATTTTTAAAAGACTGATTCCTAACTACACCAAAGGACCATGAGGCTAACCTTATCATTAGCATTCAAAAAACTAGAAACTATCGGGTAGGTCTAGTGATGTACTTAAAATCAGAGGTAGCGACTTTGGTTACCTGACGACTAGGCTGAAGCTAGCAGCCAGTAGCAGCTGTCAATAAGTCAGTAGAAACTAGCAGCCAATAACAGCAGCCATCAAGTCCGTAGAAGCTAGCAGCCAATAACAGCAGCCACGAAGTCCGTAGAAGCTATAGCAGCCAATGACAGTAGCCACTAAGTCCGTAGAAGCTAGCAGGAATGAAATTCATCAAAGGACTAATGTGAATGATGATCAGATGGATATGAAATTAGTTGGTTTTGATAGCCAGTTGAAAAAAAAATTGAAAAGCTCTCACAGAATTACGAATAGATAGACGATGAACTCTCTTTAAAGAAGCTCTCTCCACCTAGCCTACTGGCTCTTGTGAATGAGCATTCGTTCATCCAAGGATAAATCCATGCGCAAAATACTTTAAAAATTAAATTTCACCCCTCCCTGAAAACTTAAATCCGACAGATCGTTTACATCGTTGAATGAGCTTTACTTCCAAGTCTTAGATATGAACCCTACATCGTGAGATTCCATCTGGATGTAAAAAGGTTTAAAAGTCTACTGTTTGGGTGTTTGCAGGTACAGATCCGTCAGGGTTTTAACGACAAGATTGTTACTACACACACAAAGACTCCATTTAAATCAGTTCATTGTCATTATCTGTTGATCTGTTCACTCTGCATCCAAAACAATAATTAATTTAAAATACAAGTCGAATTCAGATTAATTTGGTTCCAAGAGGGTTTTTTTTCTTTATAAACATATTCTTATTATAAACAATCTTTATTTGACATATAGTTTGAAAAATCACAGTCGAGAGCCAGTTGCAGCCCCCTAAAAACACTGATACTAATGATAATTTTTTTTATACATAGTATAAGATTTTGTTGATCATTTTTTTTAAATGGAACCCCCATATTCTGCCTCGTTAGCACAAGAATCTCTGCATGATTGTGAATCAAACGTGTTCATTAAAATGGGAGTCAGTAAAACAAGACAGTGGTACAAAATAAGTTAAATGAAAATCGTTATTACTTGTCACTGGTGTCAAAGGTTAGCTAGCTTAAGAGTGGATTATTGAACAATGGAAGAGGTAAGATTTAATTCTTAATTACCTATCGAAAATAATTAAAGACCAATCTGATTGAGAATGTTTCTTATTAATCCAGTGTTTCAATACTTCATAATCACTGCGTATAAAATCGGGAACACACGTTCAGTTGTTTGTAGCCTTTCATCTTGCTGGGGAAATGACTGAGAATTCTTATTTGTTTTTGGAATGTATAAAAATATTTACCCGGAAATCTGTCACAATGCTCGGTAAATTGTAAATGGAGGAAGGTACTTTAGTGCAATATTTGTTCGTCCATCATTAACACAACAGGGAATATCATGGAAATTAAGATTTCGTAAAGTTCTGATTCTGAGAAAATATGGCCAGTGTGAAAGCTGAGTATATTGGAACCACCACTGCGCGATTTACGCCAGATAAAAAGGCCATATCAAAGGTGAGTACCTTTCTAGGGGAATTTAACATAAAACTGGACATATCGCAATTAATTTTCGGAAATGAATATAGTTCGCATGTCATCATATTTTCTTTGAGTTTATTGATACACATGCATTATTTATATGGCTTGCAAGTCGTAGTAAGATAAACAAGTCATTAGATATATCTTTTATTAATATATCATTTACTATACATGTATGCTACGTATTCATTACAGGAAAAAAACTGTAAACTGAGTGTTTGCTTTTAGTGCATAATTACTAAAAAAAAAAATCCTGCTTTTTTTTATTAGATAGTTAAATGACTTTGATTCAAAATTAAAGTATATAAACACTGATTTGTACTTTCAAGAAGTTAAAATATATTAATTTGAGTATCAAAACAATAACTCTAGATGGAAAACTCGTAGAAATTGAGCTAACGTGAAAGATTTTCAAATGAAGCATGAATAAAATTCTAAAATATGTATATTAAACAAAAACAAATTACGTTTGAAATAAAAAAAAGAATAAAGCGCATTTATAAAGAAAGTACTTTACTGAGCATTTATTCGTCGGTTCTCGGCCTTGCTCCAGATTTAATACATATTTTGCAACAATTACAGTATATACAAAACTCAGGGAGTTTAGTCAATAAATCTCTAAATATCTTTAATCTAATCCTGTACATAATACAAAACACCACTCACAAATTTAGTGACCATAAACTGACTCTTGCGCCATATTCAAACCTTAAGCCAGCATGGTTGATTTGACAGCATGTACAGTAAATAATATGTAATACATGTCATTGGCCTTGCCTTCATAAGCATATTAGCATGTAAACCCATGAGAAAATATATTAAATATCATAAAAATCAAAAGATTAGTGTCTGTAAATCATTCAATCCTGCAGTTTTCATTCAAGGGTAAAATGTTTCAAACCTGGGTGTATTTAAACCTATCCCGAAAATCTCACTCTCAATGTTACACGATGTACCAAAGTGTTTAAGCCAAGCTTAAGAAAAGTTAAGTGTTTGATAGATAAACAATTCCTCC